ATATATATATATATATATATAAGTCCCATGTGTTAAAAACTGCCCTGTATTGTCTCTCTGCTGCTCTCGACCCTCTCCCCCGGTCCAGCTCCCGGCGCGCAGGAGCGGGGCATCCCCTACAGACGCGGTGCGCCCCCGCCCTTTGCCGCCCGCCCGGTGCGCTCCGGCCCCCATTGTCTGGCAGGGCGCTCCGCAGCTCTGATCATGAGGAGGGCAAATGACACACAGGCGCAAAGAATCGTCGATTCCCATCGCAGGCGATTTCTCTCCCCCAATCCCCGACTTCCGCCAGAAAAGTTTGGCCGCTCAGAAAAGGGGAGGAATCTTGGGATACATCCCGAGGGGGCTATTCGGACGCACCCCTGTCGAGGATGGACGCCCCCCCCCCTCGTATATCCCAGGGTTGGGCCCCAAATTGTTGATCCTCTCGAAAACCTCACGGAGCCTGGGATAGGGGTCGACGCATCCCCTGTTAGTCGATTCCCAGGAACATGTGCGAAAATATCGGAAGTGGGGGGGAAGACAAAAGCCAAGAACATATGGGAAAATACGATGGAGGGAAATACTTACTGAACGCTCCCCCTCCCCCCAAACTCAATGTTGGCACACACGGGGGAGACTGCGGTCGAAGTGCATCTCATCAGACCCACCGCCAACTTTGAACATTGGGGGGAGGGGGGAGGCGTTGACGGATGAATGTGGCATGTGTTCGCTAATTTGTTCCGAGGCCTGTATGGGGAATCCACTTATTTGTGTCTATTCATTTGTGTGTCCCAGGGCCCCTTCAGATCAGTGCTCTGATCAGTGCTGCCTTCGGTTGGTAAAGGTCCCCCTGGCCCAAGGCGCCCCCAGTTCTTCGCTCAACTTAGAGCCCCTGGGGCCCCCTGGGCCTCGTGCGGGGGTACTCTGGAGGCCGCCGGGGCCTCCCTGGAGATCCTGGGAGCACCTTGGGCCAGGGGCACTTCTAGCAACACCCGACGCGTGTTTCTGCACAGGGGTCGCAATCGTTGATGCCCTTCGTCGCTTTCGGCATACAGATATTCGTGGATGTCGCTGAGGGGGGGGGCGCGAACAACCTCTAGGCCTCCCAGGTGGGCTCCGAGTAGATGGGGTTTGAGCATCGTGCACCAGCCCATCCAGAAACGAATCTCAGGACAATGGCCTGACCTAGGGAGGTGTCGAGCATGTCGTGCAGTGACACCAAACAGACGGGGAAAGGGGACCTACTGCCCCAGCAACCGCGCTCATCATCGAGGGGTCCCACTGCGGCAGAGTGCCCCCAGCACCTGGGGGATGCCACGGGCGAGCGCTGGGGAGGGGCGGCCCTCCGGGGCCTCTCTTGGGGCCTCTCGTCGGGATCGTTGCGCTCCAAGTGGGCCCTCTTGGGGGCCTCGTGTGCGAAACCCACGGTTTTACCATGGTTTTCCAGTTCGACCTCCCTGGTTTTCCGAGTTTACCATGCTCTAATGTTCGAATCCCTTTGGGCTCCGTTCCCAGTGGCTTTACCCGTCCGACCTCCTGGATTGGCTGCGCCAGAACCCTCGGGACGGAGCCCAACCCGAGGAATTTTTAGAAACCTGCAGTCATCTGGATAAATCCCGAGGTATCCAGGAGAATCCGCAGGAATCCTCAGGAGCCCTGAGGGGTTTTCAGGGATCCAGAGAAATCTTGTGGCGTCCCGAGGAACCCTCAGGATCTTGAGGGATCCTGAGGGGTGTTGACAAGTTTTGAGGAACTCGGGGGAATCTGGAGAGTTTCCTAGGAAACCATCAGGAATCCTGTGGGACCCTGAAGAATAAGAAGACTCTGAGGGGACCTTTGGAATCCTGAGGCATTCCGAGGGACCCTGAGGAACACAATGATCCTGAGGAGCCGTAAGGAGCCCTATGAGAACCTGATGACATCTGGACTGGAGTAGCCAAGAGGACACTGATGACATCTTGAGTCCTGAGGGATGCTGAAAAATCTAGAGAATCCCGAGGAGATGGGAATCCTGAGGAACCTTCAGGGGCCCTGAGGAATCCTGAAGGATCCTTTGGAATCCGGAGAAACCCAGAGGAGGAGAAACCCAGAGGAAACCTAAGGCTTTGGGAAGCGGGGAAGCGATAATGCCAAAAACAATGATTTCCCCTTGGCTTTTGAAGGGTTTTGGCATCTTGGAGGGCGCCGTGGAGGGCTCGGAGGGCACTTGGATCCGTCTTGGGGCTGTCTTGTGGCCTCTTGGAGGTATGTCCGAGGCTATCTTGACCCATCTTGAAGTAGCATGGGCCATCTTGGAGGCCATCTTGCGACTTTGAAGCCCTGCTGGAGCCTTCTTGGGCCATCTTGGACGCTGCGGCGCCTCCGCCCCCCCCCCCTCCCAGGCCCAGGGGAGGGGGTAGGGGGAGAGAGAAGAAACAAACGCGTTATACCACCTCAGCCCAGAGGGCTGGTGGGATTCTTCGAGAGGCGACCGCTCCCTCGAGACGCAACGGGCTCCAGACGCGTCTTCAAGCAGTGGCGCCGGAAGGGGTCGGGCGGCAAGGCCGCCGGGACTGTCCGGCGCCGCGTGGCGATGAGGGGGGCTTCCGCGACACGGGCGCCGGGGCCCAGGAGGCGCTTGCTGGCGCAGCGAAGCGGGCGTCGCAGCGCCTGCTGTCTTCAGGGGCGGCGCGTCGCCCAGACTGGGCGCGCGTCGCCGTGGACGTCGAGAAGGCGTTCCTGCGCGGCGCGACTGGTGCCGAGATGCAGGGGCGTGGCGAAGCGCCCCGCGAGATGCAAGTCAGGCCTGTCCCTCTACAGGAGGAATAAGAAAAACGTTGAAGAATAACATGGATGTGACTCTTTGATGATTGTTTTGGCCAGCTTAGAGCTTGTGTCAGTTTTTACTATCGTCCAGCATTCCAATGGTAGGATGACAGGTCTGTCCGAACGCGAGATGAATTTCGCGTTGCCACCCGGCGGCGTGGCCGTCCTCAAGCAGGTGTCTGGCTACGAGAGCTGTGACGATTGGGCAGTGCTTGCGTTGCATCGAGCCAGGCACGGGCTGCGACGATGCGATCCGAGCCTTTTCCATGAAGTTGCCCAGGTGACGTTCTCGCCAGCCCCGATAGCCAATGCCGCCATGCGGGGCCCGGGGCTTTCATGCATGAGACGTCTGGTGCGGGGGAAGGAGTGGAAATCCCACGCGGCCCCCCCTGGCACGCCCCCCCAGCCGCTCCGCCGCGACCAGGGGGCTCGTCGGTGCTTGCGGCGCCGAAGGCTCGTACGAGCTGGTGCTCGAGTTGCCCAGGCATGTTGGCGACCTGGAGATGGCCCAGCGCAAGGGGCGCGTCGTCGGGCTGATCGGCCACGCCGAGAGCCTCTCCAGCAAACTGAATTATGATTATGGCGACTTTGCCATCTGCGGAGCGCGCCACGGGGCAGTGCTGATGGCGCCGTGACATCGGCGCCCCGTTACCGATCAAGCACGCCGACCTGGTCCAGGCCAAGGTTGACGTGTGTGCTGGAGGTCAGCTCCACGACCGCTTTGTCTTTCCCCTGGGGGCAGTGGCCTGCGCGCCTGCTCGCGCAGCACGGCGTCGCCCTGTGCGTCGTCGCGCTGCAGAGGGCCGAGATAAAGCCGCTCGCCCGACGCGCGGCGCAGCTCGACTCAGCTGTTTTGGCCGCGCAGAAGATCCAGGCGCGCGTCGCACTCCCGGCCATGGAGCGCGCTGGGCGATCCAGCGCGCGCAGCGACGGGTCGTTCGAGAGGGAGGATGATACAGGGTACGGCATGAGCGGGGCTGTATACATGCGCCTCTGCAAGTGCCGCCGCGCAGGCGAGGAGGTGTGTCACTTGTTGGGCGCAGTGGGCCAATCGCGCATGCTGGCATGCAGATATTCATTCGGCTCCGAGCTGCTAGCAGCGTGCGGCGCAGCCGACTTTTTGCGAGCGCACTTCTTCGCGTTGCGCGAGATGGCGCACGGCCCCGCCTCTGCCTGCCGAGGAGATAAGGGGGCTGAGAGGGAAAGGCGGTTGCGCGATGCTTGCAGACCTCGTCATTGACTGCATGGTTGTCTTCAGCGCCCTGGTCGTGGACCGGGTGCGGCCGCCTTCCGAGAATGGCATGGCAGGCCATTTGCGGCGGTTAGCTGACCAGCTGCGCGCCGAGCAGATCGAGGACTTCCTCTGGCACAATACTCAGGACATGCGGGATGTCCCCACGACGAAGCCCAGCGTGGGCCGGGACCTCATCCTGAACGTGATGGGTGGCCAGATCAATTCCGACCATGATGCGGTCATGTTCGGTGACGTCATGCGGACGAAGGCCGCCCCGAGCTCCCGGCACAGGTCTCTCTCCCAATAGTGAAGAGGCGACTCGCGTGACTGTGTCACGCAAGTCGACCACTGTAGCTCCGGTGCCTGGGCCGCCTAGCTTCGGTCTCTGGGATGCAGTTCGACCTGCAGGGCAGCCGCGGGATTGCCGAGCTTGGCGGGCTTGGCGAGCAAAATATGCCATGACATCGAGCACGCGAGTGGCTGGTGCTCCAGCCCACTGTCAGTTGAGCAGCAGCGCGCATCTTCTGGCGCTCCACCAATTGTCTTTCGCACGCTCCTTGCAGTCAATATTTTACGGGAGCGCGGTCAGAAGGGCATTTCCCGCGGCGGACTGGCAATTTCTATTGCGGGTGCGGTCGGAGCAGCACCCCAGCAGAATTTCACGCAGTGGTTTCTTTTGCCGCTTGCGCATGGGAAACCTACGAGGGCACGACGGGCTGGCTTGAACACCATACACGAACGGCACCACTTCTTTCTTTTTCACCCTTTCCCTGGCTGTCTTTGCCGTTGCCATTTCAGAATGTATCCTCGCGTGTCCGTCTTATACGCGCTCTTACACTTCATGCTGTTGTTATTGCACGACCAGGACTTTGATTTTCATCCTCTCGCATCGATTTTCTTAGTGTCCTCCTCCTTGTCCTCCTCCTTGTCCTCCTGTTCCTCCTCTTACTCTTTGGCCTCGCTACCCCCCCTCTCCGTCCAAGGCCGTTTCACGGTCCAGGGCTCCGCGCCGCGGTGCCCATCAGCCGCCGCCCAGGAAGCCCGAGGCCGGAATCTTTATATGCGGATCCATTGCCCGATGTATCCCGGGGCTTCAGGAGTCGGCGACTGCAGTTGGGCGGGTGGTACCCTGACCTTCCAGGAGGGTTAAAGAATAACACCAGGACGTCGACGTCCTAATTCCTGTCGCGGTTTGAGGCAGTCCAATTAGATCTATAGGTACGGAGTGCAATTTCTTAGCGCTCTGGAAGGTCAGGGTATTGGGGAGTGATTCTTAGGCTTGCGCCGCACCGCCGACCCCTTGGGGGGTTCCTGGTGGGTCTTTCGGGGGCCTCCTGGCAACAGTTCTGATGCCTCTTAGGGGGCCGTTTTGGAGCCGTTTTGGGGCCTCTTGGGGCCTTTGGTGGGTCTTTTGGGGGCTTTTTGGGGGCTTCTTGGGGCCTCCTGGAGGTTTTTTAGGGCCGAGGGCTGAAATTTCCGTTCGGGTCCTTCTCCTGGGCCCCCTCTGTCTTGGGGCCCTTTTGAATCTTGGAGCCCTCTTGGGGGCTTGCTGGGCCGTCTGTGGGCGATTTTGGAGGCCTCTTGGGTCGTCTTGGACGTTGTGAAAGCCCAAGAGACGAATGTACTCAAATCATAGTTTCCTTACAGGAATGGGGCGATTTTTGCTTCTGGGGGCCCTCTTGGGACGCCTCTCAGGGACCTCTCAGGGGCCTCTCGGGGAGTCTCGGGGGCCTCTTGGGCCGTTGGGGGCCATCTTGGGCGTCTTGGAACGATCCATCGGCGATTCGGGGCCCGTCTGGAACATCTTGTAGGCCTCTTGGGGCCCTCATGACCCGTCGTGAGACCCGCGGCGCGTTCACCCGGGGCCGGCCGGACCTACCCCCCTCCTCCAAAACGACCGGACCGGGCCCCGGTGGGAGGGTTTTGGGGTGGGAAGCATCTCACACGCCGATGACGCTTGGGCGGGTGGTAATGGGGAGTGATTTAAGTTGGGGTGGAGAAAGAGGGTCCTAAAAGTGTTCCTTTATGGCCCCTTTCACCCCCCTCCCATTCAGGTCGCCCACCCACCCGATTCAGTCGAGGCCCCCCACTTGGGGTCCGCGCAGGTTGGGTCGTAGGATCGCTCCGCATCGCCGATGCATCGACGATGCGGCTCATACTTTCCCCACGCCAATGGTGCCGATACGTCGCAAATACAGCCGATGCATCGCCGATGTATTGCCGATGTGTCGCCGATGTGTTGGCGATATATTGACGATGCATTGGCGTCGTGACGCGATTCTCCGACTTCATCTATTTCGACCCATACTCGGAGGCCGCTGTATTCGGTGCTGTTCAAAGTTGACTGGTGGTCTGTGGTTGCCCAACATTGCTTCTTGCCAGCAGGAGTACAGGGAGGGGGATCGAGGTTCTGGGTCCGAGGAGTTTTGTGCGTTGCCTTTTTCTGCCTCTGGGTTCCGTTTTTGGGCCCCAGAGTGCCCTAAGCTGATAACACTTCACCAGATGGCTCTGGGAGCCCCCCCGCCTCCAAGGTCTGGCTGCGCTGGGGTGTGGCTTGCGATCAGCGCCGCTGGGGCTTGGGGATCGCCGCGTTGCGCCGAAGGTCTGGTGGGTCCTCGCTGGGGCGCGGCGGAAACCTCCGCCGAGGGCCTCGCCCACCCCACGAGGCGCGAGTTGCAGACCACACCCGTTGCAAACCACACTCTTGGGAGTCGCCGAATGAGGTGGTAGTTCTGGGGGTCCGAGAACATCCACGTCCACCGTCTCCTCCTCCTGCTCCTCCTCCTCCTCCTCCTTCTCCTCCTCCTCTCCCTCACCCTCTGCCTCCTCCCCCTCCTCCTCCTCCCTCCCCTCCTCCTCCCCTCTCTCCTCCTCCTCCTCTCCTCCTCCTCCTCCTCCTCCTCCTCCTCCTCCTCCTCCTCCTCCCCCTCCTACTCCTCCTCCTCCTTCTCCTCCTCCTCCTCCTCCTTCTCCTCCGCCAGTCCCGGGACACCGGCGCCCCTGCGGCGGCGGGCACGTGCGGTGGCCTCGGGGGCCGCGCGGACGCGGCGGCGTTCCCTGGGGGCCCGCCCTCTACAGGGTTGCACTCCGCCGCTTCCCTGGCCTGGGCCGATGCACTCGGTGCTCTCGGGATTCTGCGGCTGCTCGAGGCTGAACAGCCCACGCGGTGTCAGGCACTTGGCATCGCTCGGACGTGTGCGTTTTTTCCTCGGCGAGGACCATCGAGGAGCATCCTTGACCATTTGGCGAAAAAAACACGCACGAAACCGAACAAAAACACAAACAATGGAGTGCATCGTTAGCCTAGAGACGGGGCTCAATGCAAACGGGGGCCAGCCAGAGCGCCAGATCGTGCAGGATCCTGCAGGGCCAGGGTCGCATCGACCCGGGTTTGGGTGCAGGATCCCGCAGGATCATGCGCATTGACCCGGGTTTGGGTGCAGGATCCTGCAGGATTTTGCAGGATTCTGCAGGACCTGACTGACCCGGGTCTGGATTGACCCGGGTCAGAAATTCCCCGAATGCAACGATCGGTGCTCTCGGGATTTTGCGGCTGCTCGAGGCTGAACAGCCCACGCGGTGTCAGGCACCGCTGCCCGGGTCGTCACGGTGCGACCCTGCCGTGCAGTCAGGACGCCGAAGGAGGGAGCAGTTCGAATTCGGGCTCGCTGGTCCTCAGGTCCTTCCATGGTCGTTCCTCCAGCGGGAGGGCTCCTGGTGCACCCAGGTGCCTTTGGGGCCAGAACGGTTCGTTCCCTTTCGTTTCGCGTTCCTCATCGCAGCAGCTCGACCGTATGAGTCCTGGCCTCGCAGGAAGGAAGCCAAGCGCGCCCTCGGCCATGGCCCGCTCCGGCGCCCACGTTGCGGCTGCCGCCGTCCTGGCGTTCGGCCTCGCCACCGTGCGCTCGCTGCTCTTCGTGGCGGCGTCGCGGCCAGCGGCCTCGAGGCGCGCGGCGGTGGCCCTCCGCGCGAAGGTCCCCGGAATTCCGACGTCGCGACTTCTTCTTGGCGCCGGCAGCGTTGACGACGGCGACGACGACGACGACGACGACGATGGCGGCTGCGGCGGCGGCGGCGACGACGACGGTTTTCGCCGGCCTTTCCAGAGGGTTCATCCGCCACGGCTGGCCGCAGCTCGAAGCGCCGGCCAGGGAGGGCCCCCCGAGGGGTCCAGGGACTGGCTCGTGGCGGGTTATTTGCGCCCAGACCCTCCTGGCGGTGGGCTGCTCTCCGCGCGAAGGTGTGGAACTCTGCGACGAAGTCGTTCGAGGACCGCTCAGCGGCGAGTCCCGGGGGGGAGTGAGAAGGGGCGGGCCTTCTCAGAAGGCTCGGAAGTCCCCAGGCCTTCTAGGAAGCTTTTTCTGACCCCTCCCCAACGACACAGGAGACCTCTCAGAAGGCCGAAGGGCTTTGAGAAGCCCCGCCGCCTTCTGAGAAGGCCCTCTGCTTCTCATTTCCTCCCTCGTTCGCCGCCGCACCGAGGCTGGGGAGAGGATCGAAGAACTCGCCCGATCTCAGCAGTCGGGGCGGCTGCTTCGGGCCCCAGGATCGTCAAACATCAGAATAAGGCGGCCGAATGGTCTTGCACAGTCCCCGAGTACGTGACTGTAGTGGGTTTCCGCGGTGTGGACTGTCGTCATTGCCGTTGTTGTCGTTACTTTTTCTCTTGCGAAGAACAACTGTCGGTGATCCCCCTCACTGCTGCCCAGTTAGCGTTTTTCAATTGAAGTGTCCCCCCTGGGGCTCGCAGCGCTCGCACCCTGTTTTCTATAACTGCTGAGAGTCTTTCGTTTTGGTCCCCACCTTTTCTCTCGACGGTGAACCTCACCCTCCTCCTCCTCCTCCTCCTTCTCCTCCTCCTCCTCCTCTTTATGTCCGGCACGAGGAGGTGAAGGAGGAGGCGGAGGAGGAGGCGGAGAAGGAGGAGGAAGAGGAGGAGGATGAGGAGGAGGGGGAGGAGAGGAAGAGGAAGAGGACGAGGAGGATGAGAAGGAGGAGGTGCAGTAGTAGTCGTCGAAGTCGTGGTCGCAGTCGAAGTCGTAGCTGTCGTCATCGTTGTTGCCTGGCGTGTGCCGCGGAACAAATGATTAGTTAGCCCCTTATTGGTGGGACCCCAGTCCTTAAACAATAGGCCGCCGAGGAAATGGCTCATTGATGGAACATTTGCCTGCAGAAACTGCGCCCCTTGACAACAACAACGTTTCCCACATGATACCTCCTCACAAGTTATTTAAATCTCGCTCTCGCGTGTGGGTTCCTTGACAAATTTACTGTGGAATCGCGTTCCCGCTCGGGACTTCTTTTATTTTTTACAGGCGCCTCCCCTACCCCTCCTGCTAAATCTTCATCGCCTTCACTCCTCCCTCCCTCCCTCTTGCCCCCCTCCTTCCCCGTTTCTTTTTCCTTCTCCTCGCTCGCTCTCTGGAGACCGCGCCAACTACATGTGGCAGGCAAGAAACATATGCCCCTCCTCAAGAGGGTACGATCCAAGTCGAGGGGGTTTGGGGTATTGATATCGAATGGCGTGCGAGCGACGAAGAGCGAGCAGTCTTAGTATGATTGTTATTGCTGTTATTCTTGGTGTTGTTGTTGGTATTGGTGTTGTTGCTGCTGGTGTTGTTGCTGCTGCTGTTGGTGTTGGTGTTGTTGTGGTTGTTGGTGTTGTTTGTGTTGTTTTTGTTTTTGTTTTTGTTTATGTTTTTGTTGTTGTTGTTGTTGTTGAACTCCCGCTACTGAAGAATAATTATAATTGATCCCCCCCTTCCGGTGCACATTGCATTTTTCAATTGAAGTGCCTTCCTGGCGCTCGCAACTTGTCTTTTATCAGGGAAAATCTTTCTCCTCAAGTTGTCCCCCTGGCCCCCAGTTTAAAACAACAGCGGCTCCCGCTTGATACTTCCTCGAACTGTATTCCGTTCCCCCGCTCCCGCTTGAGAATTCCTGTACTTCAGAATCGCGCTCCCGCCTGAGACTTCCTTGAATTTACTCAGGCGCCGCGCTCTTGCCATTCAGGAATCGCGCGTTCGCTGGGGATTTCAAATCCACTTAGGAATCGCTCTCTCGCTGGAAACTTTTGGCTAATCACGCAGAACTCACAAAGAAATATGTACCCACCAAAGTGGTACGATCGATGATGAACAGGGCGGGAATCGAGGGTTCGGGAAATGCACGCTGAATGACACTCGAGCAGATAAGAGCGAACAGTCTTGAACTGATTGTTGCTGTTGTTGTAGCTGTTGTGCTTATACTTGTGCTTGGTGGTGTTGTTGTTGTTGGTGTTGCTGTAGTTGTTGTTGCTGTTGTTGTTGTCGTTCTTGTTGTTATTGTTGTTGTTGTTGTTATTGTTGCTGTTGCTGCTGCTGTAGTTGATGCTGTTGTTGTTGTTGGTGTTGTTGTTGGTGTTGGTGTTGTTGTTGCTGGTGTTGTTAATGGTGTTGGTGCTGGTGTTGTTGTTGTTGTTGTTGTTGTTGTTGTTGTTGTTGTTGCTGTTGTTGTTGTTGTTGTTGTTGTTGTTGTTGTTGTTGTTGGAAGTTGCTGTTATTGTTGTTGTTGTTGAACATTATTTCTTCTTAAGAATAATTATTGTTGGGACCCCTGGTGCGCGACCCCCCCGCCGCGCCTAGGCCGCAGCCTCATTTTCATCATTTTCGTGAGGAAGTCTCAGGTAAAACGATGTGATCCAGATCCGGTTGTGTTGTTACGATCGGTTTTCCCTTGCAAAAAATAAGCTAAAGTGGACATTTCTTGTTCTAACATAACCAAACTTCAAGAATCCCTTGCAAAAAATAAGGTAAAGTGGACATTCGCGCGCGCAAGACGAAATCCTTCCAAAACCTTAGTTTTCGTAGCGATTTTAACATAAAAACATCAAAAAACCAATGGTTTTTCAAACAAAAATTGTCAAAATTTCATCCCGCGCGCTCTTGCGGATTCGTAGGAAACCCAACACTTTTTAATCATTTCTGTCAAACGGGCTTTTGCGAGCAACTTTTTCGAACTTCTGCAACAACGGTTGCGCACCTGCCAGGGCCATCATCCCTGTCAAATAATACCATGCGGGACACATTCGTTTTTTCTTCGCGCGCGCACGCCGTCGTCGTCGGCCGCGGGGCCCTGAATAGTAGCCACGGTCGTCCGCATGCCACGAAGTGAAGTGTCCGAACGTCATAGGGCGGGAAGCTGGGTGTGGGTGGTGGCGAAGAGTCGTTTGGAAATTTGGTAGAGCTTGAACCGGCCCCCCCACAAAGTGGGGGTATTGCCCGCCTCCTATGAAAACCCTGGCACTGGTGAGAACGGTGTGTCCCCACGTGCTAGTAATTATTGTTGTTGTTGTTGTTGTTGTTGTTGTTGTTGTTGTTGTTGTTGTTGTTGTTGTTGTTGTTGTTGTTGTTGCTGTTGTTGTTGTTGTTGTTGTTGTTGTTGTTGTTGTTGTTGAATTTTCACTTCTGAAGAATAAATATTGTTGATCCCCCCCAGCGGTGCATATTGTTTTTCTCAATCAAAGTGTGCCCCTCGACGCTCGCACCCTGTTTTTTGACAGGGACAATCTTCCTGCTCAAACTGGGCCCCTGGCCCCCGGGTTGCAACAACGGCTTCCGCTTGAGACTTCCTTACAATTTAGCCAGGACCCCCGCTCCCGCCCGAGATCTCCTCGCATTTTATTCCGGAATCGCACTCTCGCTTGGGACTTCCTTACAATTTATTTGGGGATCGCTCTCCCGGCGCTCTGGAGTCGCGCTCTCGCTGGAGACTTGCTTGCAACTTACGGAAAAATGGCCTTGCGTTGGAATTTCTTGCAATTTGCCCAAGCGCCGCGCTCCCGTTTCCCAGGCACCCAGGAGTCGCGCCCGCTGTGGCCCCATGTGCATGCCCTTCGTGGCCCCGCTGTCGCCATTTGTGTCCCCCTCACTGTCCTACGTTGCCCAGTTGCTACCCTCAGTGGCCCCATAGTTGCCTTCTGTGGCCCCGAATTATCTGCACTTCGTAGCCCCCGCTCGTTCGCGCTCTTCGTGGCCCCATACGCATTCCCTTCGTGTCCTCGTTGTCGCCCTTCGTGGCCTACTTCGTGCCCTTCGTGGCCCTGCTGTCGTTCTCTCTCGCTATTGCCTTCGTTCGTCGTCGCCGTCGTCGTCGTCGTCGCCGTCGTCTTCGACGTCGTCGTCGTCGTCGTCGTCGTCGTGGTCGGTTTCCTGTCCGTCCCTCTTGTGGTCGGGTCGACGGTCCGCGGCCGCCCCACCGATCAGCGCTGCCGTTGGCCAGGCCGACGGTCCGCGGCCGCCCCGCCGCTTGCCGGGGCCCGGCCTGCAGGGAAGAAAGGTATACCCCCCAAAAGGGGTTCGATCGAAGACGAACAGGGCGGGTATCGAGGGTTTGGGAAATACGCGTTATTGGACACTCGAGCATATAAGGGCGAACAGTCTTAAAACTATTGTTGTTGTTGTTGGTGTTGGTGTTGGTGTTGGTGTTGGTGTTGTTGCTGTTGTTGTTGTTGGTGCTGTCTTTGTTGATGTTGTGGTTGTTGTCGTTGTTGTTGTTGTTGTTGTTGTCGTTCTTGTTGTTGTGGTTGTGGTTGTGGTTGTGGTGGTCGTCGTCGTCGTCAAAGTTATAGTTGTTGTTGTTGTTGTTGTTGGTGTGGTTGTTGGTTTTTGGTTGTTGTTGTGGTTGTGGTTGCGGTCGTAGTTGTTGTTGTTGTTGTTGTTGTTGTTGTTGGTGGTGGTGTTGGTGTTGGTGTTGGTGTTGGTGTTTGTGTTGTTGGTGGTGGTGTTGGTGTTTGTGTTTGTGTTGGTGTTGTTGTTGTTGTTGCTGTTGCTGTTGCTGTTGTTGTTTTTTGTTGTTGTTGTGGTTGTGGTTGTGGTTGTGGTTGTGGTCGTCGTCGTCGTCGTCGTTGTCGTTGTCGTTGGTGTTGGTGTTGGTGTTGGTGTTGATGTTGGTGTTGGTGTTGGTGTTGGTTGTTGGTTGTTGTTGTTGTGGCTGTTGTTGTGGTTGTTTTTGTTTTTGTTGTCGTTGTTGTTGTTGAATGCTCATTTCTGAAGAACAATTGTTGATCCCCCCACCGGTGCATACTGTTTTCTCTGAATCAAAGTGTGCCCCTCGACGCTCGCACCCGGTTTTTTGACAGGGACAGTCTTCCTGCTCAAATTGGGCCCCTGGCCTCCGAATTACAACAACAACAACGGCTCCCGCTTCAGACTTCCTTACAATTTAGCCAGGACCCCCGCTCCCGCCCGAGACCTCCTCGCATTTTATTCAGGAATCGCGCTCTCGCTGGGGACTTCTTTACCATTTATTCAGGAATCGCTCTCCCGGCGCTCTGGAGTCGCGCTCTCGCTGGAGCCTTGCTTGCAACTTCGTAAGAATGGCCTTGCGTTGGAATTTCTTGCAATTTGCCCAAGCGCCGCGCTCCCGACACCCAGGCGCCCAGGAGTCGCGCCCGTTGTGGCCCCATGTGTATGCCCTTCGTGGCCCCGCTGTCGCCATTTGTGTCCCCCTCAATGTCCTACGTGGCCCAGTTGCTACCCTCAGTGGCCCCATAGTTGCCTCCTGTGGCCCCGCATTATCTGCATTTCGTAGCCCCCGCTCGTTCGCGCTCTTCGTGGCCCCATACGCATTCCCTTCGTGTCCCCGCTGTCGCCCTTCGTGGCCTACTTCGTGCCGAACTTCGTGCCCTTCGTGGCCCTGCTGTCGTTCTCTCTCGCTATTGCCTTCGCTCGTCGTCGCCGTCGTCGTCGTCGCCGTCGTCGTCGTCGTCGTCGTTGTCGTGGTCGGTCCCCTGTCCGTCCCTCTTAGGGTCGGGTCGACGGTCCGTGGCCGCCCCGCTGATCAGCGCTGCCGCTGGCCAGGCCGACGGTCCGCGGCCGCCCCGCCGCTTGCCGGGGCCCAGCCTGCAGGGAAGAAAGGTATACCCCCCAAAAGGGGTTCGATCGAAGACGAACAGGGCGGGTATCGAGGGTTTGAGAAATACGCGTTGTTGGACACTCGAGCATATAAGGGCGAACAGTCTCAAAACTATTGTAGTTGTTGCTGTTGGTGTTGGTGTTGTTGGTTTTGGTGTTGGTGTTGGTGTTGGTGTTTGTGTTTGTGTTGTTGTTGTTGTTGTTGTTGTTGAACATTATTTATTCTAAAGAATAATTATTGTTGGCCCCCTGGTTAGGCCGCAGCTACATTTTCATCATTTTCGTGAGGAAGCCTCAGGGTGTGATCCAGATCCGGTTGTTTTGTTGTAATCCGTTTTCCCTTGTAAAATGACATTTCTTGTTCTAATATAATCAAATTTCAAGAATCCCTTGCAAAAAATAAGGTAAAGTGGACATTCGCGCGCGCAAGACGAAATCCTTCCAAAAGCTTAGTGTTCGAGCGATTTTAACATAAAAACATCAAAAAACCAATGGTTTTTCAACAAAAAAATGTCAAAATCTCATCCCGCGCGCTCTTGCGGATTCGTAGGAAACCCAACACTTTTTAAACATTTCTGTCAAACGGGCTTTTGCGAGCAACTTTTTCGAACTTCTGCGACAACGGTTGCGCACCTGCCAGGGCCATCATCCCTGTCAAATAATACCATGCGGGACACATTCGTTTTTTCTTCGCGCGCGCACGCCGAAATCTCCAAAAACCATTGGGCTTCTTAAGAATTTTAGCACCGCGCATCATAAAATCACACGAATCGCACCGTAGGTCCTCGAAAAACACCTGCACGACTTTTCAAAATTTCCACCCGCGCGCCGGGTATAAGTCGTATACTAAGCTAGTTTCCACAATATGTTACCACAAGAAGTCATTGTAACCATGCGCCAGTGTAGTAGCCAAGGTCGTCCGCAGGCCACGAAGTGAAGTGTCCGAACGTCATAGGGCGGGAAGCTGGGTGTGGGTGGTGGCGAAGAGTCGTTTGGAAATTTGGTAGAGCTTGAACCGGCCCCCCCACAAAGTGGGGGTATTGCCCGCCTCCTATGAAAACCCTGGCACTGGTGAGAACGGAGTGTCCCCAGTCTTAAATGATTGTTGTTGTTGTTGTTGTTGTTGTTGTTGTTGGTGTTGGTGTTGTCTTTGTTAGTGTTGTGGGTGTTGTCGTTGTTATTGTTGTTGATGTTGATGTTGTTGTTGTTGCTGCTGTTTCTGTTGTTGTTGTGGTTGCTGTTGTTGTTGGTTGTTGCTGTTGCTGTTGCTGTTGCTGCTGTTGTTGCTGCTGCTGTCGTTGTCGTTGTCGTTGTCGTTGTTGTTGTTGCTGTTGCTGTTGCTGTTGCTGTTGTGGTTGTTGTTGTTGTTGTTGTTGTTGTTGTTGTTGTTGTTGTTGATGTTGTTGTTGTTGTTGTTGGTGTTGTTGTTGTTGTGGTTGTTGTTGTGGTTGTTGCTGCTGCTGCTGTTGTTGTTGATGTTGTTGTTTTTGGTGTTGTAGGAGCTGTTGTTGTTGTCGTTGTTGTTTTTGTTTTGCTAGCTCGCTTTTCTGTCATTGCTTTTGTTTTTGCGTTTTGTCTTCGTCGTCGCGTGTGGGTCGCGGCGGATTGGCGGGCGGTTCGCGGGGGGGTCGCGACGCACAGGTTGGGGGGGACCGGGTAAGTCCAGGGTGGAGGCCGGCCAGGACGGACCCCGAGACGGGCGGGTGGCGCATCGAGGCCTGAGCGGCTTCCTGCGGTCAGCCCGCAGAGCAAGGATGGGCAATCTTCCCAAGGGTGCCCTCGCAGCCTTGGCCTCCTCGGTCCATCCTTGGCCACATTCGTTGGCCGCGCCCCGCTGGAGAAGCCTCGGAACGGCCCTCCACGGCCCCTGCGTCCTTGTCGCGCGTCCTTGTGGTACGGACTGGCTAGTGTACTCTTTCGGGCCTCCACGGGGCGTCCTCGCCAGCCACGGCTGGATCCACCTCGGAAAAATCTAGCCAGAGCGCACCCAAGCCCAGGGCACGGGGCGGGGGCCGATCTGTCTCTAATCACCCAGACCTCCGCGAGATGTAATCGTGAACTTTGGACGTTCGAAGCTGGTGTCCGTGTGGCCCTCCTGACTCCCTGCAGAGGACACGGGCTCCGCGTGGGAGAACCCCACGGCGGAGGGCATGTCGAGTGCCATGGGCCTGTACTTCCCGGAGATGAAGCCCGAGACGCCCAAGAAGGGCTACTACTACAACCGGGCCTGGAAGAAGGTCGAGGCCAACGGTCCGAACGACCCCACCACGGCGGGGCTCCCGGGCTGGGACATCGAGACGAACATCGCGGGCGAGCGAAGCTTCGAGCAGGAGCAAACCTACGGCTGGAACATCGGCCCAGGCACCGACAACGTGGACGAGCGCCCCGTCAGGTAGGCTGCGCGGCAGCGAGCGGTCACGGCCCCGCGGCGGTGCGGCGCGGGCGCGCGCGCGCACGCGCGGCGCCCTCCTTCAGACGGGGCGTCCGTCCTCATCCTCTCTGGCTCCGCGGGGTCTCCGTGATGCCTCCACGACACTGTGTGATGCGTGGGGCGGTGCACTGCACAGAAAGTCGAGGAGGCAGAGGCGGCATACAAGTTGACGTTCGGAGGTCCCCGCGGATTTCGTGGACCGGCGCCAGAGGCCCTCCTGGCGGCGCCTCCAGCGTCGCCTCTGGCGCGCTCCGCGTGTCAGGGAGGGGGTCCAGCGCCGATCCAAGAAATCCGCGCAGAGCTCCGAAAGTTGATGTCTATGCAGCTTTTTCTCACTCTATGTGTGATGTTTGGGCTGGTGCGCTGCAGGAAAGCCTGCCCAGCCTGCCCAGTCCTGCTGCGATCCATGAGCGACCCAGGGAGCAGCTTGTGCGTTCGCATCTGTCTGCCGACCGTTGCGCGTGCAAGGTCCCCCGACTGCAGCAGTCCTTCATTGCGGATGCAGGAGCACAGAACAAACATAGATTTTCGGAGCTCCGCGCGGATTTTTTGGATCTGCGCTGATCCCCCCTGGTGGCGCCTCTGGCGCCGCAGTTGGCGCGTTTCGCGCGAGCGACGATGCAATTCAGTCTTGCGGACCTCCGAAAGTTTACGTGTATGCTGTTTTTGTCTTCCCTCAAGAGTGTCTCATAGCTTCGACTCGCAAGTTCCACCTCTGAGCGTTCAGTCAGGATTCGTCTTGGCGAGACATTCAGGGTTGAGGTCTTCCGTCGCTCCGCTTCTTGCATCTCTTTCAGGACCGCGTTCGCCGACGAATCCTCGCGACAGCACTGCAGCCTCAGAGCCGCCAGTTTCGGTGGTATTCATTCTGTTCCCCATCCTACAAGTTTCAGGAGGGAAAGAAACACACAGACACAATTAATCGTCGACTCCCAGGAAAATATGGGAAAATATGGGAATTGGGGGGGAAGACAGAAACCCAGAAGATATGGGAAGATATAGGGCATCATTTAATTTGTGTGTATTTATTTGTGTGTCCTGGGGCCCCTTCAAAGTTGAGGTTGTTAGAACGAACGCAGACTCCTGAGCCGCCTCGCACACCTTGTGTACCGCGGCCGCCAGGCCCAGAAAGTGTGCTGGCACCCCCTGGGAATCCCGCCTCGCGCCAGGCCTCGAGACGCCCGCGGCATTCTCTCGCATTCTCGGGCGGGGGTTGCTCGACGCATAAGATGTTTTTCTTCTCCCGGCAGTCCTGTGGTGTTGGGCCCTCGTTTTGCAGATACAGCGCCCCGCGTCTCCTCCTCCGCCTCCTCTTCCTCTTCCCCTTCCTCCCTCCTCCCCTGCGCGCCTCTGCTCTCCGCATTGCAACCGGTTCGGCACACCTCCCACGCTTCGTGGCCCACAAGCGAGTCCCACCGAATGCCCCAGTGGCGAGGTTCGCATGCGTCCGCCCCACCCAGTACAGCGTCTCGTGGCCCCATAAGGAGCTCCACCGAAGACCCCAGTGGCGATGTTCGCATGCGTCCACCCCACTCAGTAGAGCGTTTAATGAATGGGCTCCACTGAAAGACCCTCGTGGCCCCATAGGGAGCTCCAGCGAAGGCCCCAGTGGCGACGTTCGCATGCGTCCGCCCCACCCAGCACAGCACATCGTGGGCCCAGAGGAGGTTCCACCGAAGGCCCCAGTGGCGACGTTCGCATGCGTCCGCCCCTCCCAGTGCAGCGTTTCGTGGTCACCAGAGGCCCAAGTGGCGACGTTCGCATGCGTCCGCCATAACCTGTACAGCGATCCGTGGCCCCACGGGGAGCCCAACCGAAGGCCCCAGCGCACAATTTCCCGCGGCCCCATGGGGAGCCCCACCGAAGGCTCCAGCGGCGACCATTCGCATGCGTCCGCCCCACCCAGTACAGCATTTCGTGGCCCCGTATGGAGCTCCACTGGAGGTCTCAGTGGCGACGTTCGCATGCGGTCTCCCCGCACATTTCGGCGCATCCCTGACACGTTTCGTAGCCCCATAATAGGCAGCTCCACCGAAGGCCTCAGTGCCGACTCTCGCATGCGTCCGCCACACCCAGTACAGCGTTTCGTGGCCCCATGGGAGCTTCACCAAAGGCCTCAGTGGCGACGTTCGCATGCGTCCGCCCCACCGAGTACAGCGTCTCGTGGCCCTATGGGAAGCTCCACCGAAGGCCCCAGTGGCAACGTTCGCATGCGTCCGTCCCACGCATGCGTCCGTCCCACGCACTGAGTTCCACCGCAGGTCCCAGTGGACACGTTCGCATGCGTCCTCCCCGCCCATTTCGGCACATCTCTCGCTAGTTTTCTGGCCCCAAAGGGAGCTCCAGCGAAGGTCCCAGTGGCGACGCTCGCATGCGTCCCCCCGCCCATTCCGGCACACCCCTTACGCGCTTCTTGGCCCCATAGGGAGCTCCACCGAAGGCCCCAGTGGCGGCGTTCGCGTGAGTCCCCTCCGCCCATTTCGGCACACCCCTGACGCGTTTCGTGGCGCCATGGGGAGATCCACCCACGGCTCCAGTGGCGATGTTCGAATGGCGGCCCCGCCCCGTTTCGGCACACCCTTCACACGTTTCGTGGCCCCATAGGGGGGCCAACCTGACGCCCCAGTAGCGGAGGAAGGTTGAACCCGGAAATTCCCCCGAAACCCGACAACGGGCAGGACCAATCCCGAAATCCCGACGAGAGCGGAACCCGACAAATCAGGATGCTCAAACCCGAAACTCTAGGAGGGGCGACATCAGACGAGTTGGGAGGGGGTCTACCTAGAAGAGCTGAGGAGGGGATATCGAAGGAGGCATGGCGAGGTAGTAGGCAGCAGGAGGAGGTCGGAGGGGTGGGATGGGGCAGGAAACGGTAGCAGGGACGAGGAGGTAGGACGAGCCAGGGTGCAGCTGGAGGAGGCTGGTGGACGTAGGAGGAGGTTGGAGAGGGCAACGGGGAGGGCAGTATTGCGGTAAAAAGTCCACACGTGATCCCCTACGCAGACTCATCGGGTTCTGGACAGCGCGTCGGCGAGCGGCGCTTTCCATCGGGTACCTCGGCGTGGTCCGTTTGTGGTCTCTGCGGTTCTGGCGGCTGTTTGGAGGGTTGTCTTCGGTGTGCGTCGGCCTGTCGTTGCCCTGTTGCGAATGGCGTGGCGGTGTATCTGTCCCTGGACCCCGGCGTGGTCACGTGGCGAATCGAAGGGGGTATTAGTTTTCGCCTCCCAGGCGTTGCCACGTGGCAAGTGGAGTTATGTCGGGCCTGTCCCCCTACAGGGGGATTTTCGACGAAAATAAAAAGATACACCAAAAATAATCAACACGTAATCGAAAAATAGTCTGGAGACTATGTTTTGAGTATTTGTTGACCTTTTTGGGGCATTTTCTTGGTATTTTTCTTTTTCGTCGAAAATCGCCCTGTAGGGGGACAGGCCCGACTTAAAAGTAGAGTGAGACGTGTATACGTTCGGTCCGCGCGGCATTGCCACGTGATGCTTAGAGCGAAGGTGTACTTCTGGTTCGCTCCCCATGCCATTGCCACGTGGCGAGTGGAGTGGGATAGTGCCTTGCCAGGCGGCGTTGCCACGTGGCGACTAGAGTGGAGTAGCATGTGCTACTGGCCCGCTTCGTTGCCACGTGCCGAGTAGAGTGGGGC